TTCATATTTCCTTTTTTAAAAGATATGTTGATGACATTTTCGCGATTGTGCCTAGATCTGGTATTGACGAGTTACTTAGAGTTTTCAATAGTTATCACACCAGATTAAAATTTACATTTGAAATAGAAAAGAATAATTCTCTTAGTTTTTTTGACACAATAGTGATTCGAGAGGGGACTGTGTTGCTTACGAATTGGTACCGAAAGCCGACCTTTTCGGGGCGATACATAAACTATTTTTCGAATCACCCTCTCAAATACAAAATTAATACTATACGTAATCTTGTTGACCGAGCTATTCTTTTATCTGACGTACGTTTTCATAAGTCTAATTTAATCGAAATAAAAAAGATTCTTTCTAATAATTGTTATCCAATAAAATTAATTAACAAGTACATTAACATCAGACTTAACGAGCTACAGACACGTCATAATAATAATAATAGATCTAGCAGTAACAATGTAGCCCAGGATCCTCGAAAGTTTATTACTATACCGTATATTAAGGGCCTTAGTGACGGTGTTGGCCGTACAATGCGCGATGCAGAATTCAGGGTTCTCCTCACCATTCCGAAAAGGTTGGATTGCATTATAAAAAGGGGGAAGGATACGCTACCGAATCTTAAGCAAACGGAGTTGATATATGAGATTGATTGTGCTAATTGCAACGCTGCATATATTGGTCAAACAAAAAGGCACCTAGAGACACGGGTTAAGGAACATTTTTGTGATATTAGGAAGAACAGCGATAATCATTCTGTAGTTAGTAAGCACCGTCTCACGCATAACCACGATTTCAATTGGCAACAACCAAAAATTTTATATAAGGAGCGACACTTTAAGAAACGTGAAATCTCTGAGATGTTTTTTATTAAAAAATGTGATAGCGCAATCAATCTTCAAAAGGACACAGAAAGTCTGCCCGCGAATTACAACCGTTTGATTGGCGTCACTTAATTTACACTTTTGTTCTGCTCGTTTCCACCTGTGAACACATCTATTTATTTGTTATGTATCAGTCTTTTAGTATGACTTCGTCTGTCACGCTGTACTGATGTGTTCGCAGCTATGGCTTGCGACGTTTCTTCGTTCTGCGCTACCGTTCTCACTTTCCGTTTTGACGCACATAATATGTAAGCCTTACTTTTTACTTTGTACATAATTTATAACTTAACTATTTATAACTTAACTATTTTTAACTCTACTATTTAATTTAATTGTATTCTTACTTTTTATTTTATGACTTCTGAGCGTTTTTATCTTTTTGACTATCGTGAGTTTATTTCACTTTTTTAGCTTTACGTGTGCATGATGTGGTTAGGGCACGATGTCAGCGACGTAATCGATATTTTGTACGCGGTTTTTGAGGATGCATAGCTTGATGAATCACTTGAGAAGGACCGAAAATGCGGTTGAAACGTTGTGAAATTTAAATATATTTATTATTTGGCCAGTCGGGTCGAACAAAAACGACTTTTGTTATATATATATATATATATATATACATGTATATATATATTTATATATATTATAAATTTTAGATTTCAATACATGCTCAGTACGCTGTACTGATATGGTACAGTTCCTATTGCGCATATAAACCGAACAGTACGCAGTACAGGTACGACGATAGTACCAGAATGGTACGTTGTATCAGTATCATGTATCATTTTTGTACTGGTATTGTACAGCTACGCCGTACGCTGACATCTCGTGGCAGTACAGTAACAATACGGTAGCAGTCTCTTGTGCGGGAATCGCACGCTTGGTTATCTGGGCTCCGCTTAACCGTTTGCTGACGGGAATTTGGTTGACGGAGGTCGGGGACAACCGAGAGCTCTCGGTCGAGGCACAGAGCGCTGGACCTCATTGGTGTGTCGCTCTAGGACTTAGGTAGCTTCGTCGGGAACAGCGGAACGCTGGTGTGGAGACGAAGTGTCTTTTCTCGCCGGAACGCCGGTTTATATATCCCGGCGCGGCGGGTTCGGTGGGAGGGAGGCCGATCCTCAGGCCTGCGTTCTGAAACCTTACTCGAGTTAACTCTAGTTAACTCGAGGCGTTCAGAAATGCCGAGTTGACCCATTTGTGGCGTTCAGAAACACGCTTGAGTCAACTCTCGAGTTAACTATTTCTACCCACGTCGAGGAGGTAGGTAGAAATTACTCGACATACGCACATATGGATTCCGTCACATAAGGGGCACATAACGCATGTTCTCGAAACGCGCCTTTTTTAGGTTAAAGTTATTCACAAGTTATTCACAAGTTATTCACAAGAACCGGCAAACAAAAAGGGATACGTTTCGTTTCGACATTGAGCTTCAACGATTTTCATACTTTCGTACAATTAATAGTTCGAAATTGCAAATTGAGAAAAATGTCTGAAGTATAAAAATGGGTACTTTATTTCTACATCAGCTAGACTCGGTAATACAATAACTCGGCTAATTCGTTTCTTCTCGGATGTCCATCATTTTCACCAGGCACAGCTCGATGTACGGAATTAATCAGCTCTGCATCTTGGTTGTCATTGTTCATTCCCTCAATGACATATTCTTCTATAAATAAATCATTATGATCGATACACATGTTGTGCAGAACACATAATGCTAATATCGTAGCAGGTATCAAATCAGTACGATTCATGTCCAAATATTTTAATCTTCTAAAACGACCTTTCAGTAACGCAAAAGATCTCTCAATCACCTGTCTAGTGCTAGCCAAATTTCTATTAAAGTGCCTTTGAATTTCGGTAGTGTTCCCTCTGTCGATGTACGGGGGAATAAGCCAGGTTAGTACAGGGTAGGCCTTGTCTCCTAACAAAAACTCCCCATTTGGGAAGTAAGCTTGCGGTTCATCACTTATTTGTGCATAGATATCCGAGTTACGAAATATTCTGACATCGCTTACGGAGCTTGGATAGCCAGCAAAACAATCTATAAATTTCAACGATGGGTCGCAGATGGCTTGCAGAGTAATGCCATAAAAACATTTTCGATTTATATACACCTCTGGATCTATTTGTGGAGCTTTAATAAAAATATATGTTCCGTCAATCGCGCCAAGTACACCCGGAATATGCGAAAGTTTTTGGAACTTCTCTTTGACCTCCTCTATTTCTGCTCGTTGAGGCCATTTAATGAATCGGTGTGCAATTCTGCACAACGCTGTAACCACTCGAACGAATGATACTGACAATGAAGACTTTGCCATGTTGAATCGATCTCCAATGGATCTAGAAAAGAAAATTTTGTGTATGATCAATATTTTGGAGCATATAACGTTTTTACAGAAAACTATAAATAGAAAGGATATAAGGAGCTTTATTCGTTCCAATGTCACAATCTTTCTGCAACGTTTTGTAGTTTATGCGGGACTGTAAAGTGAACATGTGTCATTTCAAGCAGTGTCCTTACAGAAAACAATTCTAACATTCCGTAATCTAACATTGTCAACTATTTATTTCTGTTATAATTATTGTCTGCATAAATAAAATACCAATAAAAAATACCATAAATAAATATCTATATGAGTCTGGTGTACGAAGAAGCCAAATTACAGAAAGTAATTGCTTCCGAGGGTTGATCATTGGACGGCCCTGTCGATTATCATCACCTATTAGCATACATCCAATCATTTGTAGTAAATCCTCAAAAGTATCAATTGGTACTCTGAAATGTTGTTGGAATTGAACGGACGTGTAATTCGACACCACATTCTCAATATATCCAGTAATGCGTGTTGGCGTATTTCCTTTTTCCAATGCTATAAGGCAAAACAATTCCTCTTCGTCATCATCCTCCTTAAATTTAATTATCATACATCGCTTGATTAAAGTAAACAAAAATTAGTGAAGGTCACTTACTGATTTATTAATTACGATAGTCAGTCTATTAGGTTGTACATAAATGTAATCATTTGCTTTAATGTTACTTAAAATTAGACTGTACCGTATCATTCTTAATATATTTTTTACTTATTATTATTTTAACTTATTATTTTCATTCTCAATTATATTGTCAATGTTCCATTTAAAATAAAAACTATCTAATACTACATAAACTTCGTATATATATAAAAAACGTATAATGCTTTCCATCAGTAAAAATTTGTCAATCCTAACCTCATAATGGCAATGGGTTAACAAAATTGACATTAATATATCAATTGTCTTCCGACTAATATTATTACATTATTTTGTAGATAACAACTTACCTCTGATGCCTTTATAATGGTCCAATAATTAGCGGCTTGAGCAGCAATTTGTGCTATTACAAAAGAAATAGCTCGTTTGATACGGACACTATTTTCCTGATGCGCTGCCATATTTTCACTCATATTCAATGCTTGATGGGAGAGCGCCATGTTAACCCGTGATGTTACTTTCGTCGTCCATAAACGACAGTAACCCGGTCAACTCTAACTCTACTCCTACTCTACCTGGGTAAAAGCAGAGAGAAACCTGAGAGCGGCCATCCGGCTTTGGGGGACGTCTGTCCTAATCTGCCCTCTGAGAAAGTGGACGTCAACTACGGCGTTACGCTCGGTAACGATCAGAGAGGACTCGGGTAACGATACATGGGTTCGTATCCATGCTATGGTTTGTGTCCGAACTACTCAGATGGAGGGGATATGCTGGTCGCGCAAGCCCCTCCTCTGTCCGTGTACGCTAGGCACTCGGCAAGCTTCGAGCGGGAAAAGAAGGGCAGACATACGATCTGCTGTCTCTCTTGAGCTGTGACGTTGCCGCTTTGCACGGGCCGGCTATACCACGATGCCACGCATTTCGGGTATCGCGTCTCGTGTCTCGCCGAGTGCCGAGTCTCGAGTTGACAAATCGACGATACGCTATACCCGCTATACGTTACACACATTTGCTTGTATATTTACAAATTTTAACTTTTATATTTATAACTAAATAAATTAAAAAAAAAAAATATATATATATATATATATGTATGATACCATAGACCTAGGATAAGATAGACGGAGCGTAAGCTGCTACTATGGACAAGGGGGGTAAGGATAGCGCGGGAGGGGAAATAGACCCACGTCTATCTTATCTTAGGTCTATGGTATATACATTTGAAATTTATAAATATATAAAGATTGCAAATATAATTAATTAAATAAATATTTATAAACATAAAAACTAAAATTCGTAAATGTATATAATGTATAGAAATCACCGTTCTATGCTTTTCTATCTAAAAAAGTCTTACATTAAAAACCTTTACTTTAGCATAATAAATTTTAAATTTAATATTTAAATGCATACCATTAATTATATTATTAACTATATTGAGAAAAAAATGGTAGTTTATAATGTTTCTTGCACTCTTATTAAATTTATTTTATCTAATGCATGTTCAAGCGGCCAAATTACGAGCAACAACAGAAGGATAATTGGATAAAAATAAAAACACTTTCTTAAATAAACAAGACACATGGGTAACAGTCAGTTCTATTATAATTCTCGTATAGTTCTGAACGTGTTCTAACGTTTTCTAAAGAGTTCTGACGATAAGCATTATTTATTTATATTTTTAATAATTTTTATCTCCCAAGAAAGACGCATTTACGGGTATATGGGTGAGACGCTGTAGAAAATCTCGGAGTTCTGGCTTATATAAAATATTTTTCGTACAATTCTAAACATATTAAAACAATTTCTAAAGAGTTCCAGGCATTGGCAATGTTGTATAACTTTTAAATAAATTAATAACGCACGAAAGTCAGGAATTTATCGAGAATAGGGTCTTTCTCGAGCGATAAAAATTATTTGAAAAATTAATAAATAATGCTTATTGCCAGAATAAAACGGGACAACGTTAGAACACGTTTAGAACTACACGAGAATTATAACAGAACTCACAGAACTGTCGAAATACGGCCAGCGTTTCAGCTTATTTTCAATAAATTCCTGATTTTTGAGTGGTATTAATTTATTTAAAAATTATACAACGTAGCTAGTGTTTGCTAAAGTTAATAAACATATATATACAACGTAGCTAGTAACGGGAACTCTTTAGAAAATGCTTTAGTATGCTCAGAACTATACGAAAAATATTTTATATAAGCCAAAACTCCGAGATTTTGCACAGCGTCTCATCTTCTTCTGTCATGATTATTTTTCGGTTAATATTAATCTTTTTAAATATAACACAAAGATTCTAACGCTCGAAACTCTTTAGAAAATGTTTCAATATGCTCAAAACTACTCGAAAAATATTTTACATAAACCGGAACTCCGAGATTTCAACTGGCGTCTCAACTCGGTATACTCGTTGCATTGTAATTTTTTTTTAGTACTTTATAATTAATTTTTTTGCTTTTATATGGCAGAACTCTTTATAGAACTGTTATAGAACTATAGATCTTGCAAAATCTGATGAGATACAGTGGTGGAACTTGTGTAGGACAAAGTGAGACGCTGCGTGAACCTATAATAGCGTCTCAGTTTGTACTGACGCGTTTTTATGGCTTTAATGGCCAGAACTATTTGTTTAAACTATCAAGAACTTTAGAACTATTGAAAAGGAAGCCAGAACTCTCAATAATTTGTGAGTTTCTGCAAAATGAGACGATAGCTTCACACACACGTCAAGAAGAGAATGTAAAGAATTATTAACGGAGATATTCTAATTTAAAAGATCTTTAAAATATATATTTTTCATGAATGTTTTATAGGGAAACGAAGAAAGTGAATAACGTTAAACTTTGCATGTTTTCTTCACTTTATTTAAAAAATTTATTTTTATTTTTTAAGTAACAAAAATGCTCTTTTTTCTGTTATATCCTGGTCACTATAAATGACAGACGATGTAAATAATTCTAGCTGTTTTAGGTATCTGAAACGCAAAAAACTAAAATTTTCTTATTCTGCAGGAGAAGTGTGGCTATCGTCTGAACTAGAACTAAATCAATATTTCTATTCTGAGCGGCTTTTTTATTTAAAATATTATAACTTTTTTTAAAATTTTGTTAGTATTTTATTAAAAGAAAATGTGGACTTGGTTAGTGGAGCGAGTGTGTTGTGCATGCGTGTGAGAGTTGCGGATGAATTAGGCGAGAGTTTAGTGGGAAATTGGATACGAGGTAGGCGATAAACCGAGAGAAAGGTAGGAAGAAGAGCTTAAATTTAGGATAGGATAATAGATGCAGTAGGAAAGTATTAATTAGTGTAGGAAAAGTGTTAAATATTTTAGAGAGAGGAGAGGTTAGGTGAGAGAAAGCGGGAGAAGATCGCGGTGCGTTCCAAAAGGGAGCGAGATTTGCGCCACGCATAGAGTAGGTAGCGACACTAGACACTAGACGGAACGGCTTAAGCATAGAGGTAGCGGTTAAGTAGATTGGCTGGATTCTGGAAGAAGAGCGTGCACGAGGGGCGCATGGGATGGAGGGAAAGACAGGTGAGAGTGAGAAGGCAGCAATAACGAATAAAGATGAGAATCCGGCTACAGTGTCGGATTGCTCATGCAGTGAGAAAACGGATAAGGAAGTTTTTGCCACACCAAAAGAAGAAAAAAGAGGAAAGGGAAGACTTACAAAGGAGGAGTTAAGAAGGAGAGAAAGATCGGGCTCGCTCAGCATACTGGAGTTTATGACAAGTGATAACAGTACGGCATGCGAGTTAGCAAAAGCCAAGAGAAAAAGAGAGGAAAACGAACAACGTACGATGAAAATTTTCAAGAGAGATAACAAGACTGTAAGAACGCCACCAGGTATGGACAAAGCGAAGGATGGAGCCGGTGGGTTAGGTTGTAACCGGACGGTACTACTGGATGCACGAATCAACGCTACGTGTCCTTAGAAATCAACGGTCGCCACTCGGTTTGACCTTTGAACCACCGAGAAGGTAAGTATCGAACGATATCTCGAACTATCAATTAGACTAATTCTCTTCTTTTTTCAGATTCCTGCCAGCGCTGGATCATCGCCGTCATCGATCAGGATCGTCGCTGCCACCGGAATCCAGGACCAACGAGGGACTTCGAGTGATCGACGCCAATGGATCAGGTACGTAGAAGGTATGTCCAATCTAATAAATTTTCGAAATCTTTTACGAAAAGGATGTTTAATTTATTCAATTATATTGATTTCCAGTGTTGGTTGTTCACAAAACTTTAAGTCACAAAAGATGTCGGACGCTCGGATACGTGGGCACATACGCCCCGTTTATCTACGACGCACGATCTTATTTCGGTCTAAAAAGGCCGTTCGTCTTTGTAAAGACGACAATTAACGCGTTCCGCGGGCGTTGCCGGTTGTTATGAATGTTGGCGAGCCGTAATTATAGCACTTGTATGACGATCGCGGTGACTTAGCGCGACGAAACAGAGCGAAGTTAATTACGTGTTACACGCTCGAACATCCCCGACAGACTGCCTCGAGCAATCTTCCTCTCTCGGGCTCCCTACCTACGGTGCTTTTTCCTCCACCACAGGGTATTCGGTCGCTTTCTCCTCGCGGTAATTTTCCACTCGCCGCGTTAACAATGGTTGTTTACGACTTTCGGGTCGACAGGTGTGCGCCAGATGTTCGCCGCTACGCAGTTACAATATACGTTGCCCGCTCCCCGCTGAGCCCTATGTCCGCGGTGGAAATTTCCATTCGGAGTACCATCCATTCGACGTCCGGAGACGGCCGCAGGGGGAAGTGATCCGTGCAGTTCCATGGGCCCAACGAACCCACGGCAGTAACCCGAGTTCAAGACACCGCGGACATACACACACAATTACACATACGCGCATACATATACACATTTCCGAGTGTTACAAAATTCCGCCCATTGTTACAATATTCCGCCCCTTAAGCTTTTTGGCCGTATCGTCTCTGATAAGAGGCGGGTGCCATTAAACAAAAGAAGAAGAAAAAGACGTCCGGAGACGGACCCCGGGTAGTGGTTTTTCAACTCCCACATTTATCCACCCACGACGACGCCGACCCGTACGCACGACTTCTCCTTTATCCCTTTACGCGACCCTGGGTCGACTCCTCGAAGAAGATGTCTGCGTCGCGATCGCGACCTCCGCCGTTGACGGCGATCCCCTGGTCCCGCTTCGGCGGTCCTTCTTAGCCCGATTCCGGGCTCATTCCCCGTGGACGACGTCCGGTTCCCGAGTTCCGGCGACATGTCGCCGTATCTCGCGTCCGGGCAATCGGACATTGGCGGCGACCCGTTCCCCGAGTATACCGGGTCTTATTCAGCGTGACCCGCTGGTCTTTCCCCGCGGACGACGCTCGGTTACCTACTTGACCTCCCGGTGGTCGTATCGCGTTGTTCCTCCGGGCCTGCCGACGACGCCGACCCCTCCTGACACCTAATCCGTACCTGGTACAATGCCTTTCGCGGCTCTCGCCCGCGGAAGATGTCCAGGTCGCGAGATGGCGGACGGTTCTTTAACTTTGTCGCCGGTTGTTGGATTTTACCGGCGAC